ATCCATGGTTTGTGATTTTAGTTGAAGGTGTCCCAATTTTTTTAAAAGGTCTTTTGAGACGGTCCCTTGTCAGTTAAAGGTAGGTACTTTATAATGAAGTGCTGGATTATGACCAAAAAAAATAAAACTAGTATTGTATTTGGGAAGGGACTTTTAAAAAATTGTTATCACAACAGCAGTACTGTGTTTTTTAAGGACTAGAGGGATTGCATTGTCAACAGAGTATTGTGACCAGGGACTTTAATTCGATGTAATGTGTCGTATTGTATATGTGTGATTGTGTTTTCTGTCACTGAGTTCTTTTTAATGACGACAGGAAATTATGCTAGTCTTCTCCACATCCTATCATATTAGTCGCTGAAGCCATTTTACCAAAAGGACGGAAGTTAAGGAGAAATGTACTTGTATTTTGTCTTCTGTGTATTCATGGCCCTAAAATAGCCGCGGTGACAGTTTTACGTCAAGAAATTGAAAAATGAGCATAGAGTTTTTCAGAGTGGATGATAAGCAAAATGTGCACTAAGTCTGCTTATTACCGATGATTATTAAATTTATGTGAGCTATATTGTGAAAAAAATGTCAAAGGCTGTGCGTCGTTTGAGTAAAGTTTGGGTAAGTTTATTTGATAGATGTGTTTTAGAAATCTCATAAATGGATGATTATATTGATACATATGGTAGCTGGGTTTTCAATTAATTAATAAACAAGCAAGTCGTTTTTTCATTTTTTTAAAAAGTCATCTGCATGACTAGAACATATATTAATTAGACTATAAGTTCATTTTCTGGCTTTGTGAATTTTGATTTGACCTGAATTTGTACACTCAAGGCCCCAGGATCATGAAACAGACATAGACTTAATAAGTCATATTTTCATTCAATTGGAAGACATTTATTAGTTTTCAACTTAAATTGTGAGATTAAATTGTTAGATTATAGGCAGTTTTGTGATATGGAATACAAGATAATAGTTTAATTTTGGGTATGGATCTGTTTGACTTTATTACTACATGTCATCTCAGTGCAAGATGCAGATTTTGACCTAAACTTTAAATGTTTCATGATCTTGGGGCTAGTAGGAAACTTATAATAACAGTATGAATGTGATGACACAGTAGGCTTCTTCATGTGATGTATCAGCATATGAGTTACTATGACACATTTATTTTAAAACTCGTGTGTTTTATCTTTCTTCCACTTAAAAAATATCTTTACTATGAGGGTATATATTATGATGAGGGTATACGTTAACTTGAACTGCATACACTGCAGTATTCTGCAAGCGTTGTGAGATCATATTGATCAAGATATTTTGAAATCTGAAAAAGATCAGACTTCTTGATGTCCATGTACATTTAAATGAATATTATTTTTCAAACAATGGTTTGGGATTAGGTTTATAGTTATGCACTGGAAAAAACATCACATTGAAACATGTATGTAATGGTAATGACAATATTGCCTCTTGCTTGAGAGGCATGGAACTATGAATTCATTAATTCAGCTAATTAAGCAATCTTGTTCAACTTGAAAATCTTGACACTGACAGGGACTTGCGAGTTAATAAATCAAATTAAACTACTTGAAAAGTTTAAAAGCAGACTAACAAATACTAACATGGATTTGGAAATAATGGTATTACTAAAAAAGTCAAAATGAAAACAGGAACTGGGACAAGTTATAGAGCTTTATGTAAATCAGACAAGGAATTACAATTCTGTGTTTACCCCTCTGTGAATGAACTCTCTAGATAGGAATAGAATGTATGTAAATAGTTAAAGTGTGTTAACATTCCATGAACTCAATGATAACATGATTTATTAACAAAGTTGTTTTATAAAAGGTGAGGTGTATGTCACAGATAATGGTATTGATATAAAACTCAGATACACAATCCATATCATACCAATACACAACATTTCAGATGTATCATTGAATTGATGAAGGATGTTTCATCATCAATAAAAAAAAAATTAAGTACCTCATTGAGATAAAAAAGCTCTCAAATAGGATTGTTTTTTTTTTTTTTAAGGAGTAATATTGCATGTTATGAATTTATAGATGTGTAATTTTATTGAGGTGAAATTGTCTGTCAGATTTGAATACATGACAATTGGAAAAAATAAATGAATGTGTCTGGGCAGATTTCTTTTATGAAATGAAATATGACTTTTTACATAGCGACCATTAACAAGGTTATTAAGGTGTGTTCTTCATGAGAAGTCCATGGAGATGTTTTGTTAAGAGTTCAGACACACAAAATCAAAATTTAATGGAACCAAAGAACATGTAATATACATTTTAACTACAGTATCTTGAACACTTGTGTCTCAAAAACCGTCTACCGGCCAAAGTGACCGCTTCAGTTGACAAAAATGCCACTTCAAATTAAAAAAAATCAAAGTTTGATTGTTGTAAGGTCTACAGAATCAAAGCCTGTTAAAATTCATCTCTAATCCTTTGCTTTAAAGTAAAGGGAAAACACTGACCAAAGAATATGATATACTACAGTCGAACTTCAGGATCTTGAATACCGATATCTTGAATACATTCAAGATATGTCAAAAGCCATTTGGAAGTCCAAACCCCCATATTTTAACCTTGATGCATCTCAAATCCTTGAATATTGAGAACTGTTGAGTTTCAGATAAACAGGTTAGACTGTACCGAGTATATTCATTTACAGTAAACACTCTCTATCACACTAGGAGGTAAATTGAATCCAACTTCAGTGTTTTTCTTCAGCCTGGCTTCTGAATTAGGTAAAAATTCTTCTCATTGTTTGAAGGTCTTACTGTAATCATGTAAACAGCTGATGATGAAAGTCTTCTACAGCTTATTAGCTCAGGCAGGACTTGTGTTTCCTTAATCTCATTGTCTGACCAGATTCCTGACTGTTTTCTGTTGTTCAAACAGCTTTGTTCTGTGATGCATTGGTAAATTGGCTTGTCTGATGGTGCTGTTAATCACAAAATGCTTTGTTAAGCCTTTATTAAAACATATGCTCAGTAAACATTGTAGAGATCAAGAATCCTCCTGTTTCTTTCTCCTGAAACATTCCATTTTATTTAGATCACCTGAGATAAATTAATTTGAATCTTAAAAGGTGTATTGTTGAGTCTGTGCCACCTTAAAATCTTTCCTTTCAAAAACAAATTTAATATAGGAATCTACAAATACACATTAAAAAAATTAAATTGGAATATTGCTTTTGCTTCAAATATATATTAATTACAAATTTAAAAGTTCTCATATGTAAAGGAATTAACTTTTGGTATATTGCAAAAATGATTATACACTGTAATATAAAATATGGAACATGCAAGAGAAACTCTAAAGATAGGGGCCATTGATGTATATATATCTTCATTGTTTGGTTTTTGTCAGTGCAATGCATCTAAAGGTGTATTGCTGCACGAACACCTAGGTATTTATGACTGTATACAAGTTTTATGGACACCCTGCACAAATGTTCATAACATTACACTGCAACACAGATCAAGTTACCATTCCAAACTTACATTATATAAACATGATAAAGGATACACATTTTTCTCACTGATAAAATATGGAGGTCATTTTTTCATTTTAAATGATGGAGAGAGAAAGCAATTCCCTTGGGCAGCTGAGTTTTTACTGGTATGGACATAATAATCATCTTCATGAACAGGTACTCATGGCTTTTTAAAAAAAATGTTTTTTGGTCTTTTCTGGTTTATGTGCAAATGACTCATTCTGTCAAACTAGGAAGTCAAATCAGGTTTTGCTGCATTATTAAACAAAATTATATTTAGCATTTTCAATGTGAATTTAGAATTTCAATAATTTTGATGTACCAATATGGCAATTGTGTACATTTACATGTAGGCCCTAACATTGGCACTCTAAGTTCAAGATGGCAGTCAAATTTAGCTTTGTTGTGTAAAATTTCCAAGGTTATTTCATTTCTGTTATTCAAGGTATATCTCTGACATTTCTATATAGAGTGATTCCACTTGATAGTATTGTTTGAAGTGTTGGAAACTGATCATTCTCCTGTTATTAAAGTGACTGTTGGAAAAGACTCTTCAATTACGCCATCCTGCTTAAAATTTTAGTCTTGAGCATGGGGGAATTAAGACAAGAACTTTTTAGATTGATGTAAAAGCTATTTGTTTCATCTTGAAAAATACATGTACAGTAGCACTATTTGTATTTAAACTGAAAACAATTTCTCTTCACAGCTTGTTAATTGTTGTGATTTCGTCAGACATTCTTTTTATTCTCTGTCCCCTTATGCAGAATTTTGCTTTGAAGACTTTAAAATAATGCCTACCTTTCACAATTGCATTATCCCCAAAAATTTGTTGCATGATAAAAAGAAGTTGTTTACATTCAGTCAATAGAATACAGTCAAACCTCTTTATCTCAAATTCAGTGGGATGAACAACATTGAGAGTTTTGAGGAATTGCCATGATTACAATATCCAGTCTAAAAATTCTTATAAAGAATCAGTGAAGGATTATGTCTTCCAAATCACTTCGACATATCCCTGGTATTCAAGATATTAGTGTTCAAGATTCCAAAATTCAACTGTAAAGATGTTAAAAAGTTTCTGAAGTATTGAAATGATACATGTATTGCATAAATTGGATCCCTAGAAGTTAAGATATACTCGTAATAAGTTTTCAGTGAATCTGAGATCAGTTCTGTAAAACAATTACTTTACATGCAAATTTACCAGACGCGACATAATGTTGAACTTGCCATAATTCTTATGGCATATCATTGTGTGCATCTGTTTATTAATTGTCCACTGGGTTTTAAAGAAGATCCATATTCATTTCTGCAAGACTAGACAATGAATAATAAGCTGTCCCTTTGAATTTCTGTTAATGGATGGAAGCATGCATTGTTACAATATATCTTATTTGATTTTGGGAGGTTTAAACAATTTTCCAGATATCAATATACCTATAGCACGAAATATTTACATGTGTATTGTTTTCCTTTACTTTCAGATGAATGAAGGTCGTAAGAGTCAGATAGTACTGCCAGACGAGCGACGACTTGACCTTCTGATCCAGGTAAGAATGAATTAACAGTCGAGAAATTTAAAACAAAGAACAAGGAGTGACAAAAAAATCTGGCCCACTAGCATACTGAGGGATCGTTTACTGCTTGGATAGTCATATATATAGGGACTGTCTCCAAAGTGTGTAAACATCTAAAATTGATATGAATTTTGATATGAATTTTGATATTTTTTGTAAGAAATTGATGAATTCGCTATGACTTTTGTCAAATTTGGCTCTTACAAATGTAGCTGATAATCATTATTGAACATTACCTTTGAACATGTTGTCAATGAGATCTAAATATTGTAGGCTCAAAATTTTGCTGAGTTTGCAGATGGAACTTTTGAACTTAAAGTGATATATGGTTCAGCAGGTTTAATAGAGGACAGCAAATTTATTAAGTTCTCAGAGATAAAGAAATGAAATAATTGGACAATAGTAAATTAGAGAAGATAAAAATGCTCAAAAATAATTTTATCAGTTGCTGTAAAATGAGTTGAAAAATGTCAAACACTATCGGGAAAAAAATCTTATTTGCAAAATGTCATTGAGTAATTTCAAGACCCTGTTTGTACTTTAACTTTTTAAAGTTCCAGATAACTTTAGAATCGTTATTCCATTAATTTTTTTGGAAATATATAAAGGAAGATCAGCAATATTTTGTATGAAAAAATCACAGTCTGTCAGTATCAATTTGACCTCAATCTAGAGAGCTAAGAAATAAGATACACATTATTCAAGACCCCCTGTACTGTTTAAATTGATGGTGGCACAAATTCTGAGACAGGATTTGTTGCTGCGGTATTTTTCTCAGGCACTCAGTGTTCACTATATTCTAATGAACGGATGTCTGGAGAGATAGGGGCACTATAAATACCAGGTACTTAGAATCTAAGTCTGCAGACGATAGAGGTTGTCTTGTTACAGTACCAGCTAGTACACTGTAGCAGTACTTACTACTATTACTAAGGATGTGCTCTTCCTGCACATACGGTTACATTTTTACCTGGCCAATCAGACCTTTACCATAAAAAATATAATAATGTATATGAAATGATTTAAAAAAAAAAAATTTTGATGTATTTTGAAAGTATCATTTTATCTATCTTATTTTTAAGTGCATTTTTTGTTAAGATAACAAAATGAATATTTCGTGACAGGCAGAGTTAGGCTTGCCTGGATGTATCACCAATAGAGATAAGCTTGTAGGAGTTATCTCTCTTTGCATCATATTTTTTTCCTTCCTTTTCAGCCCAAGTTAACATCTAGGGACCTTTTAGATCTTGTGGCTTCCCATTTCAAGTTAAAAGAAAAAGAATATTTTGGTCTATGTTATCAAGATGACACGTAAGTATAAGTGTTCTGTGAAATCACTTTAGAAACAAATTGTTTTATGATGAGACTTTAAGGAAGAAAAAAGATTATGTGACTGTAATGGACAAAATATTTTGGGAGAGACTCATTTCTAGTGATATATATACAGATAAACTGTCTGTTCAGTTGGTATCAAGTGTTTGCATCTTGAGTAGTTTTGTTAGCTAAAATGCAAGTAAAATAGTGTTGTGTTACAAATTTACATAATTGTCAAACAGATCTCTAGTCTGCTCTAGACAAATTCATGTGAATGTCTTTAAAAGAACCTGTTGAAAGTAGTAAAAGTGGTAATTAAGGATTCATAAGCTTTGAATAAGATGTGGCCTAGATAAAGATTTGAGAGGGTCAATTACTTTAATTGGAAATTAAATCGGAAACCATTTCCGGAAACTGTTTTCACTGAAGCTGAAAATGAAGGCCTCGTCTGGCCGATGCATCTCTATTGAAACCTGGGAAAGAAAAGAAAGACCTTATTGTGTAGACAGATATTTAATCCCCACGAAAAAGTTAGAAACTCAGTCGAGCATCACTATTGCTGGAGACGTAGGAGCAGGAAAATGTTAGAGCACTTAATGATTATAAGTAGTGGTATAGCCACCCATATCTTAACAGGACAAGGGGGTCTGATTCATACCTGTAGGGAAAACCCTGATAGGTAAGCATGCAGAAGGGGGAAAAGGTTATAGATTAGACTTAGAAAGGGGGATCTAAGAGTCTCCCTAACATATTAGCAGGGCTATAGAAATGTATATATATGTCTATAGGAAATCCAAGATACATTGTGTAGGTAAGCATGGGAAGGACCCGGAAAGGGTCATACATAAAATGTGGAAGGAGGGGGTCTTAGAGTCTCACCAATATAGGATCATGACAAGAGAGAGATCCAGTTCATGTCTGATTGATAAAATACACAGAGAGAAGGTCATGTCTCTAGGGATGTAAGAGGTAGTTGGAGAATTTATTTTTTAAGTCGCCATTGATCATGCTGATACCTGGATAGCTTGTTACGTATCAAGATACAGGGGGAGGGGTGTCAGATTATTATCTTTGGGGTAAGACAAAGTGGAACATAATAGATTACGGATAAATGTAGTGTGAGGGTAGGAATAGGAGGGGAAGGTCTACTTGTAGCTGCTGAGATTCAGTCTTGATCAGTTTATTCTGGGGGGTATCAGACAAGTATTAGAGACACCAGAACCCCTCAGTGGGGGAAAGGTATGCTAAGGGTCAAAGGATTTAACACTGTTCTGAGGCATAAGATTTCTTTGACACGTGGAGAAGTGTCAAATTTTGTTTGGTATAGCAGGTATTCAATGTAGAAGTGCTTTGGATTAATTCCTAACTAATTAGTATTAGTAATTAACAATGTCTCATGTGTCTGTGAACAGTAGACATGAGACCATGTTGGAATGTATAGCTTGATTGGATATTTATGTATTGGTATATATATATATTTATGCATACCAACACCTGTGAGCTTTTAATAAGATTTGCAAAATATGCATTCCTTTCATCAAGACTTTATAATCACGTGTGTACCTAATACATGTGCCAAAAAATTTCAAAATTGTTTAAATTTGGAAAGGTGTGCTAGCTGGCAGTAATAACTTTAAAAGTGAAATTTAAAGCTAGATTTCCCCTTTATCTACATGTACAATAGTTACAGCAATAATATTTCTGTTGTGCATGGTATTGGAGTCATATGTTATTTACCCTTTGACATCAACATTCCAATCATAAGTTTGAAAATTCCTGTATATAAAAAAAATGTAATTTTAAATATTCCAAGCATAAAATTATCTGGAGAAAACAGGTCCCGTGAACTGAGTTAGTAATTACAGGACTTGTGTACCAGACAAAAGTACACATTTACTATAGAAACAAAATTATGAATCATTTACATATCATGTTTTTATTATCATTACACCCTTAATGTTCATTGACGTCACCTACAAGATGTGGTTTGTACTGATAAGCAATGAATGAAAACATCTTAAATCTGATTGGATGATAACAGTGTGACATAGCTTTCTGTGGCTGGATTTTGTGAATGAGTATAAGATAGTAGGAATTGGATACTTGACATAGTCACTGGTTTAAGTGGTTGTCCACTATAGAGCTACTTTCATTGTTGAATTAAGGGGAATTTTGTTTCCTTTCTTAGTGGATGTGCTAATAGATTTGTTGTGGTGGCCAGGGCAGTTGTTTGTACGCGATTTCTGACCAACACCTACACACGACACTGTATTGTTAGGAAGATAGGACTTATAAACCAATGTTGTGAACTGTGTGTGACAGATTTGAGGAATTTTAAAAAAAAATCTCTAGCAATTAGCAAAGGATAAAATTGCAGGTAGGAGATTGGAATGCACATTTTTTTTCTTACCAGGTAGAAGTCTTTTATAAGTTAACTGATGATTAGAACTTAGCATTACAATCATAAATTCAAGATGATGATTCCTAGAATATGGCATGATTTATGAAGTTGACAACCCCTGTCTTAACTAAAGAGAGAATTTATAACTTAGATGTTACTGAGTTAGGGAATTTTACCTATAAATCAGAGTATTATTATACAGGACATGAGTATGATGTGTAAAGAATACTGATGTACTAACTGAACTAACCTGATGACCAGTGAAGATCATTATATAGTCATTCAGTACAGCAGGTTTTATTGTGTCTATGAAATTTCATCACTTTTAGTTTAAAACTTTTAATTTTCTGTACTTTATGCATATACATGGCTATTTGTCATATTTGAAGAAGTAATATTCTTAGGCACATTCATTTTGTTAAAGTTTACATCCATAAATCACGATTGTCAATGAGAGTCCATACACCTAGAGCTGCAATGTAGTCCCTCCCTCGAGACTATAAATTCAGTTTTCTCTGTGAAGGGACGTGACCTTGGATGAAAGAGAGAGTCTGACCTTCATGACCTTTACAAGGTCACAGGGCTCAAATCCTCTTTGTGTCTGTTAATGTAAACAGATGGAGGGCATTCCAAGGTCATGTGATAAATGCTTGTGTCTCCTTGATGTGGCGTTGTGTAGAGGTTATAATAGTCTTGGGCGGGACTACCATTTGAAGTTGACTAATTCTTTTATCTGCAACTTTTATTATTTTTGATAAATACATGTATGTTTTTGAGATTTATGATGTCCTTGAGGGTACTTAATTTTGATTTAAAGTCAGTGGATTTTGTTTTTCTCCTGTTAGAATAAAATGATTATTATGCTAGAAAGAGAAAGAGGCCTTTTTATTATGGAATTGTAACCTCCTCAAGTCATGTTAGCTCGAGATATTCATTGGGTTGAGAAGAGAGAAAAATTCAACTTGTGTTTTCGACATGTACAATGTGCACTTTATACACACTTGCGTTTTTTGCTTGTTCGACTGTAGTCTGGATGAATCCTTAATTAACAAAGTATTGAGTGCTTTATCTCTAAGCATGCTCGATTGGTCAGACAGACAGACTGTTTAAATGACCAGCCAAGAAAAACCTGCATTAACATGCTTTCTATAAACTACATATGGTTGTACATGGTCAATTGGCCGAACTCTATTGTGAATGATTAAAGGAATGTTTGTACACTAACAGGTATATATGTGTGTTAGAAATGTATGGCCCCAGTCTTGTTTGATTATAAGGGCGGTATGTATTATACCTGACTTATTTTCTATTTACAGCGGGCACCAGAATTGGCTGAATTTAGAAAAGAGAGTTTTAGAACACGAATTTGTCCGCAGGGCTGGAACACTAGTTTTAATTTTTGCTGTTAGGTTAGTATAATTTTGCTTCTTTATTTATTTATTATTTTTTTTGGAAAAAGAGGTTAACAGAATTGATGATTTCAAAATTGTTTTGAAATCCTTAATCTAAAGGAAAATTTATTTATTATATATTAGTATAATATTGTATATAAAATTTATACATTTTAAAGTTTCAGATTAAGTAAAAACATCATGCATGATCATGGACTTTATATATTTAAACTTCAGTTTAACTTCTTTTGCAGGTTTTATGTTGAGAGTATAGCCTCGCTGAGAGATATTCAGACTGTTGAAGTTTTTTTCTTAAACGCCAAACAAGCAATATTTAAGGTGAGTTCACTTCCAGCTCATCTGAGCCCAAGGCTCAAGTGATCTTTTTCAGATCAAAATTTGTCCTTGACCATCATCAGTGGCACTGTCATCCTAAATGCCCATCTTTCCCAATAACAGACAAAATTTGGAAGATTGACAAATATTATATGTTTAATTCACTTGGGAAAAAATCCAACTTCCTCTCCTAAAACACAAAACATTGTGATTGTTAATTCATTTTGTTCGTTAGAGATAAATTGCTTCATGTTTAAAAACTGAAATATGTGCAACTAGCACTTCCTGCCTGGAAAGAGAAAATCTAGCAAAAAATTGACAGTGATTATTAGTTTGATTGAAGACTGCAATATTGGGAGATGGCTCATCTCCAAAAATTTGGAAATGTATTTACTCCACAGCATAAAGTGCTTAAAGTTCTCACTAAACTTGATGGAGTGTGAAATGTTAAACTGTTCCCAATTCATTACCATACAATTTGTAGCATTGAAGTCATTTTGAATGAACTTTCAAAGCAGATATTCAAGTCCTAATTTACCTCAATGCATGTGAATTTGGACATATGATGTATTTTATGATTTTTAGAACATTTAAAGTTTTAAATTGTTTTCAGCAAATTTTACTTTTGTAGTTGTCATTAAAAAACTGCAGATTTTCTCCCTAGAAATTTTATATAAAACAAATCCTTCACCCTAGACATCCCCTAATCTCATACACAAGATTCTGCAATGGTAAAAATCATTTGTAGACCAGATTTTCCCATCTGTTCTCTATCTGTATATACATATTACAGCATAATAAGAACAATGGGTTAAAATGTTACCTGCTTTATTTGCATGCAGATATGTCATCTTGTAAACACACAAGATTATACGAACCAAAAACATAATTCATATGGTCTTTTATGAAGTATTTTAAAGATCAAAAAAGTTGTATTGTTTGAACTCTAGCATGCATGTAAAATTTGGTGTTTGATGTATGTACCATCAATATTTAAGTTTTATTTGACAAGCCAGATAAAAAATTTATCAATGCTCAGAACCCACCTAAAATATTGTCATTTAGCTGGCTTGTCAAACAAAACTAATACTGATGGCACATACATCACACACAAAATTCTAAATGCATGCTCGAGTTCAAACAAATATGATGGATGGATTTTAGAAGAGAATAGAAGGATAAAAATTGTTGTTGTATGTTGACAGGGGCAGATAGAGTGTGACAGTGAGACGATATTTGAGTTAGCAGCCTATGTTTTACAAGTCACTCATGGAGATTACACCAGGTAAGGGAAGTAAATATGGAAAGTATCATGCAAAGGGGGATAACCGATTTTGAGGAGTAAAAAATTTGAATATATATATAACAAAAAATTTTGAGTGTAAAATTTTGGCTCCCCATTTAATGTGAAAATCCAAACAGATTTGAGATAGGTAAAATAACTAAAATGAACCATACCTGCCATCTAGATTAAAATCAGTATTGGTTTTGATATATTGCATGTACTAATAAGAGAAAAGATGATAAACATGATAAATTGAGCCAGTTTTATCAAAGAAAATACTGCAAAATAAAATCTGCATACACTATAATGTGATAGATGAAGCATATGTTTGAAAAATTGAATGTTAAAAATTGTATTTGGATCAACATGTTTGGTTATAATTTCTAACAATTTGACAACACTTATTGACCCTAGTTGTTTCACCTGCAAACCTACATTTTGTGTACTTTTGGTCATTTCTCAGACATTAACATGTCTATCACTTAGTATGTAGACTGTCATAGGAAATGATCTTCACTTCAGCTGCTGTTGTTGGTTAACCATCAGTGCACCGTATTGTCTCAGCCCTTCAGTGTAATATCACATGTTCTTGCACACAGAAGGAAATTGAAATCTGCTTTATGTGTGGCTCTGGATTTCAATATGATATGATATAATTTGTCTCACAAATTCTAGATTTAAAAAATAAATAAGCTGTAAAAAGAAAAAAAAAATATGTACAAATTAGAAGTAAAAAAATACGATTCCTTGTTGCTGATAGGACTTTATTTTCATTGATAAACTTTTAAGATCCTTTTTCAAAGAGTTTTAATCAAAACATCTGACATTTGAGTCTTCATCAAACAAACTTAATCTAGGGCTAAGGAGATAGTTGATTATTTCTGTACAAATTAGCAGCAGGTATTGGCGAACATGCTACTTTGCCCTGCAAGTGGTGACCTATATAGCCTCACAAAAAAGTCAGTGAAGGACTGATTAAAGTGTGTGTCTTTAAGATAACAGCATTCAAGGAAGAGTTCTGACAAGTTTTAAAGTATTTGTAGTTTTCTGTTTCTTTTTTTTTTTTTTCTTTTTTAATTTTTTTTCACATGCATCTTGAATTGTATATGTTCATTGTAAATGGTCACTAATTTGTTTTATTTTTTGTAGTGATGAAAATGCTAGACATGATCTCAAGAAGTTACCTGTAATTCCTACCTATATACTGAGGGAGCACCCCTCTATACAGTACTGGTAAGTATAGTACTATAAGTACTGAGGTGTACATGAGTTTTGTAAAGAAGTAGTACCAGGAAATGCCAACATTGCATATATGTATAAGTGATAATCCAGAAGTGAGTTGTATCATATAATCTGAGACATTTTCATTAAAAAAAAAAAATAGGATGCAGAAATATTTGAAAGACAGATTTTTGGAATTTTGCAAAATTTAACACATGAAATGTCATGCAACTATGGAACGGGAGTAAGGAAATATCACTTTTACCAATAAATTATAATAGAAGTGTGCAGATAGAAAAATTATCTATTTAAAGACAATTTAGTGTTAATCATGGGTACAGCTTTAGAATAAATGTTGATGATAGTATTGTGAGTTCATGTACCTATCTTGGATTGCAGTCAACAGATATCGTTGGCCGATCCAAATGTTACTGTTGTGTGTGAAAACTTAATAGTTCTGGTGCGATGGGAAGAGAGGCTTTAGGATCGATCACAGATAGTTGTTTAGCTGGAGATTGTTATACAGGGAAATTGTGATGCAGTTTTGAGAGCAATTAATGTTTCGGAACACAGCTGTATTGGTGCGTTGCTGTAATCTGCATGTTGTAAATTGACAAAAAGGATGCATCCATACTAGTTTCCAGGGAGAGAAATTGGGAAGAATTTTCAAGGTTAGGGCAGTAAATATTGATTTTGACTTTTAGTAATGGTGTTATGGTGAAGCTGCAAGAACAGGAAAAAACATAAGGCTGGTTTCCTTTTCTTGTCAAGACCACTGTTTGCTAATTTCTGCAGATTTTGTGGAAGAAAAATCAATTTTCGGTGCTGCATTAATTGATGTGTCATAGATGAGAAAGAATAATCAGACATTATTATGTCGTGAATTTCAACAGCAGTCTCTCTGTTGCCTGAAGAAATTTACAATCTCACATGTTAAAGATCTGTTGCAGAGGGATTTTATATTTTATTTTGGAGATTCATTCAGTTTTTGTGCAGCTGTTTGAAACATTACAAAAGGAAGGATTAAACTGTTGGTGAATCCTAAAGTGTATCAATTGAAGGTATTGTAAAATTGAAAATTCTGTAATGTTTTATAGAGAATGCATTCTCATGGATGTTCCTGCATGGCAGCATGTGCTTACTTTAAACACTGTTAAATGTATCATGTCTTTGTGTGTAAAAGGGATAAAACCCTGGGAAATTTAATGTGAAACACATCTATACCTTTACTATAAAGGAAGTGGGGTATAAAAGGAGGGTGGGATGGCCAGGGCCCCCCTGCTGGTTATGTTTACCTGGCCACAGATAGCTGATAAGTGGCTCTGTGTTCCCCCCACAGGGGGTCGTAATGGCATGTGTTCTAATTAACCCAGAGCATTAAGACCTGGCCGTATTGAGGTGTGACATTTTCATCAATTTAATATTGATTTAGTCCGATGACCGATTTTATGGTTCATTTGGTTAATTTGTGTTACCTAGTGTGTGATAGGTAGCCCCCAATGGCAATATAATAGACATACTGTAAAGAGAGCATGTACAATTTGTAACATTGATCAGGTTTCCTTGTTTTCCAGAGATTTTACATTAATTTCCTTGTAATTAGATTGAATTAAGTAAAGTTTTATGACTTCGCTTAATAATTTTAATTGCTTGTCAATGAAATATTAAAATTTGTTTTAGTGCATTTTTGACATAAATTTTCTAAAAAGTAACATACCAGTATACATATAGTTCAACTCTATCAAGTGCCATTTCCCATTTTCCTTTCAGTGCAACATTTAAAAAAAAAATAATGATAAAAGATTAAAAAAAAAACAGCAACTTCTTGCAGTAGCTTTTGAAGGGGGGAAAAGAGAGAGCAGCCAATTGAATAATGTTTACAATCTAGTGTTATCAGATACAGGACTCTCCTCTAAAAAATGTAGCAGTATAAAGATAAGATTCACAGCTTTCTAGATAACATTACAAAAATCTCTTTCCTAGTGGGAGGCAGGCAAACTTCTCTGCTGCAAAATGAAATATTCGAAAATTCAAACTCGCAATTTACCCAAATCTTGGAAGTTAACTGCACTTTAAATGCGATTCATGACAATTTAAGTTCAGTTGTGGTGATTTTTAATCTCTTCTGATATTGGTCACATGAATCCTCCCTTTTCCCAGTACTTATAAAAGTGCATAATATCTCAATTTATTGCAGAACCCAGAGTGCTTAAAATGTTAGATATTTGTCATAATTTCAGTGTGATGTCTCTATATTCCAACACTTCAGTTCTATTCAAAACTTCAAGGATCTTGGACAAAATCATGCATCTACATGCTTTAAAAAAACTTGTGACATATTTCTTTGGGGAAAATTGCTTACAATTGATTAGCAGAGATATTAAAACTGAAGTGTCTAGGACATGTGAATTTTAACTTAGCATATAGAAATCAGCCCTGAGGGACGATGATACAGCTTATGTAAACTTCAGCAGCTATAGGGCAGGAAATGAGGATTTCTATTTGTTCCTGTATAATCTTTAGGATGCAGGCAGGTGCTCCCTAATTTCCTTTGGTGTCATACTTACTGTTTAAATGGGGGTGAGGGCAGATAGTGGGGTAAGATTAGGTTCAAAAGAAATGTCAAGGGTTATAATTGGCTAACCACACATCACCCCCTCTCAGCAGTTTGCACATGTTTATATGCAATGGGGATGAAAACTTCTTGAATGTGTTTCTTGAAAAAACATTTTCAGAGATGAAATCAAGAATTTCAATTATCAGTTTAGAGCAGGGGCTCATGGTTTGGAGGTTATCTTTAAGAAAGATCTGATTATTTTCCTCCTGAGTATCTGAAGCATCAATAAGGGAACCTGCAGTTAAAACTTGGTGAAGTTTGGGTGAACTCAGATCAGAGGGAGAAAAAAACTGGATGTTTTGGTGAAACTCTTCTTATTAGCCAATAGGGTCTTTTCTGTGGATGGTGAATTCATTTGCTAAGGAAAATAAGGTCCTGAAATAAGTCAAGTGTTAAACTTACATAAAGAGGATATATAAAAGAATGTTGTAATTGTTACGATTTTATCACAAACTGTGATCTGTCTCTCCTAACCTTTGGAAAGAGAGTTACTGTTGATTTGGGCTAAATGTGCTGAAATCTTAGACAGGTACGTGTCTTACCTAAGATCAATCTCTCTCCTGCCCTGGGGCATCCCTGGGCGGCAGATCATGCGTTTAATCACATTCCTTCGGTATATCGGCAGGTTTAATGACGAGTCCTGATCAATGGACTGATACCGTCCTGTAATCTGGTGTATGTCTGAAATTGTCCAATACAGACATAATTTGTATGTAAATTTGTAGTTTTCTCGGCAAGGATAAAGAGAGGGAAATTTACATACTTTTGTTCTGGGTCAGTTTTCATGATATCATTTTCATTTGGATTTTGACTGAGTTCAGTCGGTAAGTTAAGAAGTAAAACAGTTTTTGTTCATTCATGAGCAATATATTTGAAGTAGAGTTTTTAAAAAAAGAAAACAAAGACATTATGTCGGTATGGTTAAAAGCTGTTTTATTATTTGAATACCGTACAACCTTGGGCTTCTCTTTGTTTGTATTAGGTAAAGTACTAGTGTACACATTTTATGTTTCTAATCTGCTTATAAGGGAACTCCAGTAATTGAACCAAGATGTTTCTTAGATTAAGATTACTTTTATTTCAATGAATCGTTGAAATGAAGGTGTCTCTATTTAAAAAGAATTAAGGAGTGATAGACTGGCCTTTTTGGCAAGTATTGGCCCAGTAGGCTATTTTAAGTCTGCCCAATTTATTTTATAAAGTGGATTTCACTGTTGAGACAGTTTGTCAAAACAGCCGCCCCTAAATGATATGTCCATTTTGTTTATCCGCTATTAATCTGTCACTATTGTGAACTGTTTACTTTATTGTAACTTGAGGAATCTTTCTACTTTTGGATTCTCGCTACCTGTCTATTAACTTGGGGCCACTGCTCTTGAGGATTTTTATCTTTACATACACTCGTGTGTTATTGTTTGCTGATAGGACACCCTGCATTGTTCATTTTTCACTGTCAAGAAGTAGATGTTTTTCTTATTTGTTGTCTTTTTTGGTTTTTAATTATTCAAAGATTCCAAGAGGATATAACGGAAAGATAAAATAGATGTAGAAGGTAGAATATAGGTCCCACTGTTTTATTATCTTAAACATGCAGGAATTCTGAAGTGACACGACTTTTGTCATAAATGTTCATTGCTGTATCAAGTGTTATCTTAATTAAGATGTTAATTATTTATATTAATTATTTTTTCTTTTTTAGTGAAGACAGAGTGATATCCTATTATCAGAAAATAGCCGGATCAACAAGAGGACTCGCTATTGTAAAGTAAGTCAGACTGCTATAATAAATTTTATAAACTGTAAATAATGGGTTTTCTGCAGGCCGAGGTGGGATGGGGGTTGGAATGTAAAATTGTCAATATCCGTGCTTTAGCCATGTAAGATATGCAGAAATGTCAAGGTCAAGTCAAGACATCATGGACATAAGAGATAAAAATTGAAATCAGAAATTTACAAAATTCAGTATGATCTTTTTTGGTAACATGCATATAGTTTCAATGAAATCTCAAGCTTACTAAATTAAGAATCTGGCCTGCTTTTTTGTAACCCCCAAAACATTACATGCATTTGTACATGAACTGACTAGACAAGACTTGTCTTTGGAGTGGTGCTTACTCAGAAATACTGCTCAGTTGAAGTAGATTGAACCCGACAGTTATAAGGGGTTATATATTTTACGTGAAGTGCACCATTGTAAATATGCTTCAAAACACATGCAGTTCAGCATATTTCACAAAGGCTCAATGGCAGTTAAAAGAATTTTTTACAGTGCTGAAATTTTTTCTGTGAATTTTTTTCTGCAAATGCAAAATGTTGGAGTTCTGGAAGAGAATTTTTTGTTATCTTAACATGAATCTGAGATTCATGATTGTATAAGAAATAACTGTCAATTTTCAAGGTTTATAAGAGTATATACATTGGCAGATATTCTAATATTCAGTGATTATTTATCATAACTGGGGTTCTTTCTTATATTCAACTATTAGACTATTCTGATGAAAATTAACATAAACATCTTTTATACAGTTTTACCTTTTCTTTTGTTTGCAGTTATCTCTCTATTGTTGAAAGTTTGCCAACCTACGGGACCCATTACTATGAAGTTAAGGTATATATATTGTTTCATTCAAATCTTAGTTTAAATAATTGGAGTATAAAAATAATTTATTGATAAACAATATTTAATGTAAATAGACATTTATTAAAGTCAGAAGTATCTACAGTCAAACCTTGCTGTCTCGAACTAGATAAGACCAAGAAAATTCTTTAAAGATATCCAAGTATCTGAGGTATCATAAGTTCTTGGGACTTCCAAATCACTTGACATATCCATGGTATTCAAGATATTAGTGTTCAAGGTACCGAAGTTCAATTGTATTTAAGTCGAGCATGTCTAGCATCCCTGTTGGTACATGTAGATTGTAGAGAATGATACACATGAAATGTTAAATAAAAATAGAAGCATATTGAGGGGGAAAGGTCATTATTATAAGACACAGAGGGAAATTGCTGATGATATGTGAAATGGAAGAAGAAGTATATTGAGGGGGGAAGGTCTTTGGCTGTTATAACACAGAGAGAGTTGCTGATGATAATGATCCAACCCAGATAAACACCTGACACTGTACAATACTACAGACACCTGATCAAGAGGAACAGGGGGGCTTATCTCCTCCAGGAATGGGGGGAGATCTCTGATTGCGGGGATCACTTGGAATGACCCCCTCACTTCCTGTCTTACTTGATACTGTAGTTCTGATGCCGTACACTGATAGATGAAAATAGTTTTCACTTTCCTTGTGTGGCATTATGTTCAGGATGTAGAGTTTAAAGTAAAAGTATTCTAGGCTTAAGAATTTGTTTGGATATGTACTGTGTTTTTTGATGAGGTGAATTATTCAGGTATGTTAGATGGTGTAGGTAAAACAAAAGGATCATGCCTTGGGTCTATATGTGTAATTGTGTATCTGTGTAACAGGACAAGGGAGACCACTCCTAATTCCTGTGGACAGATTTCCCTATGTATTTAATATCTGTCTGTCTGTATGTATAATGTCTGGTGTTTGATTTGTTTCAGGATAAGAAAGACCACCCGTGGTGGCTGGGACTGAGTTATAAAGGGATCGCAGTGTACGACAAGACAGACAAAACCACACCCAGAAAGGTACGATGGGAAAAAATAACTTAATTTGTCAATGTGCATTATACGTGTACCAAGAATATCTTATGAAACAGAGGCTAAGGTTATGTGCATTCTGAAAAGTTATCCTATGCTTCACAAAAGATTATATGTAGGATATCAAAATTTAAATGTGACAGTTTTGTTCAACTTTCTTGTGTAAATGTTAAAATTCTATAAACTATGAATGAATGAACAAAATAGACATACCCCGGTAGTATAAGATAAAGTATACTAATTAAGTAAAAAACATTCTGAAGAATAAACATAGTACATGAATTGAAAAATCAAAAATGCACTTTAGAAATATTTGATGTAAATGCTGTAAATTCTATATATACTTTTTTGATAATCACTTTGTGCAGTTCTACCATCTATTTGGATTTTTCTCTAAACTATAATTAATATTCCAATATTCTTTGGTGCCAAGGAAGAAGCTTATTAAATCCAAAGATTGATGTAAACAACATTCAAAGCTGAACTAACAGACATGTAGATCTTTATCACTGTTAACTTGTTTTTGGTTGTATCTAGTAAATCCTGCTTAATCTCTTTAATATAGACATTAATAACATCGAACTAGATGTTTAAATTTAGCCAAGGGCATCTAAAAATAAATTTTCATACACTTCCTGAATTAAAAGTGTTACATGCTGAACATGATGTTTACATCCCTTTTACATGGAATACATACTGAAAAGAGGATAGACTAATAAATAAAGTCATTATTCAGTTATAATTAAACTTTTCGACTGCTGTTGTGCATGTACATGTTTAGGATACTGTGTATATATGGTTTTGAAAGAGGATTTTTTCCATAGTTTTAGGTGCATTGACTTCTTGTGGATTTTTTAGTAGATAATTTATTTTTAATTTTTCAATTCTTGGAAGTTATCAGGAAATGTTTCATTCAAGTGCAAAATTCAATGTAGAGGATTAAGATATTTTTGGAATATCAATTTCTTGTAAAAAAATAAATTTATTCCATTAAGATCTAGCAATTCAAAAATTTTATAGACATGTAAACAAAATTTTGATTAGTTAGAAGAAAAAGAAAAATTAATGCAAACATTTATTTGTTCTTTAAGATTCATAAATATGTAAATGATATTTGACCCTGTCAAATTAATTATGAATTTAGAACTGTCAAAATAGTATTCTGACAGGCACTTTACAGCAAAACAGAATATTTACAGAAAACCTGAATGTAAAACCACAGTGTGAATAAAATTAACACTAGCATTAATATGTGTGGGATTACTAATTAATATGCAGCAAATTGTGAAGAATTTACCTATGGGTTTACTCTTTAAAGTTCAGATCATGGTATTTTTAGTGTGGTATTTTATTTTAGTGTCGGTTGTTTTTCAGGTTTTTAATTGGAAACAGTTGGAAAATCTTTACTACAGGGACAAGAAGTTCTCCATAGAAGTCCACGACACAAAGCGGTAAGCTATAGCCAGGATATGATTGTTCCTTCATTAATTTGGCAGATCTATGTGTTGTGGTAGAAATTAGGCAAAGTGTCACGTTTTGACCATTAATGTTTACAAGAATGCATTCTGAGCTTTATTTATTAGGAAGCATTTTAAATTAATTTTGAGAAATATTTTGTGTGGCATGAAATTCAGATATATTTTTTCCGTTTTTACTTTATGTAGGCTTGTTGACTGTTTTATATATTGAATTTGTAAATTTCCAATTTCTTTGATAATTCTCCATGATTTCATTTAATTTGAAGTTGAATACTAATAATTCATTGATCTATTAACAAATCTCTCTGTGGTCCCCCTTGTATGATCATGGCATGTGTAGGAGTCTGTATAGATTACCGAGTGCAGCTAGTAAGATGAGCATGGTTTGTGTTGTAGTGTTGTGCACACGCTCAGCAGCTTTAACTTGTACGAGGACGCCATACTCGAGCCTCCTGAAGAGTTTGATGAACTCTCAGACGCAATAACTGACCCCACAACTCAGTAAGTAAACTCAGCCCACAACTCACTAAATAAACTCAGCTCAGCACTTTCTAAGAAACTCATTCAAAGGGGCTGCTGCATAAAATTTCAAGAATTCTCAAAGACTGGATCCAAGTAAGATTTCATAATGACTGATCGTAGGAAAGGTCTTATGAACTCACAGGACTTATCTATAGGCAAGATTCGACAAAACTTATATTAATTGATTTCTGAGTAAGATCTTGATTAAATCTCAACACTTATTCCTCCCCAGGAGTATACCATCAAAATTCTTTGTTTGGTGAATAATAATCCACCTTTTGGTATTAAAAATCATTTTGTGTTAAAGTACAAATTGGTACAGAAAAACTAAAGTTATAAATGTAGGACTTAATTAATATTTGTTGATGTGTGTTAAAAACTTAAAATTCTATTTTGATTTAGAAGCATGACTGATGTTTTCATTTTAGTATTTTTATTGATGTTTGTACCTGCTTGGCTTAGTTACTGTGTTCATTGGCACAATTTTTTCAAAGAATTTGATACAAATTTATATATATGCACAAACTTTGATAGAGCAGATGGAAAGAAATAGGAAAGAGACTTGCATCTAACTTACTGATCTGTAGACACTGATCATTTTTCTCTATATTGACAGGGTATCGGTAAGTCGTAGAACCTTTGGACCGGGGAACGTTATCGTCCACTCCTGGTTTGGATCCACTCCTCAGCTGACAAAATGTATCTGGTGTATGGCCGTGGCCCAACATCAATTTTACCTCGATAGAAAACATAATAAGGTAGGGGCAGGCAACTCATACAGAGCACTGCATGCGGGCACTTTTTCTTAAGTTTATGTTTTAGAATGGAGATTATAATAATTATGAAGCAGGGAATTGATTGAAAATTATCTATTATGAATATAAAATTCTCAGAAATATACTTCAAATTTGTACAATTTTCTTGTACTTTTCTTGAGCCAAATATCTTTACCAACAATTGTGCTGAATTTGTTAGTAACGTTTGCTGTTTATTTATGTTAATTGTATTAAGTATGCATCTTTGCACCCTATTGAAAACTAATCAAATTCATTTGAATTAATATTACAATTCAAGGAAAAATATTTTTTACTTCCTTAACATCTCACTTGAGATGTTTAATATACACATTGCATAAGATATTTTTATTTCAGTCCTCATTGTCTCAAGCTCGCAGTGTGAGTGAGATAGCTGCTGAGTTATCTCGCAGCACATCATCATTACAAGGCTCGCTCGGTTCGGACTCGATAAGTCGAAGTGGAAGCTCAGCGAGTTTACCAAGTCTCTCTGCATCAAGGTTTGATCGTAAGTATACTCAGTGTCATTCTCCATAATTATATAAATTTTGTAATTGTGTTCTATAGCATAAGAATTTAAGGATATGAAGCCCTTTGTTTATATTCAGATATAGGTGGATATGATAGTTCCTTAAACATTGAAAATTTAAAGAACCTTTGCAACAGCATCTTTGAGGACAAAGGAGTTATTCTTCCTGTCCCAAACTTCCTTAAGTTGTTAATTACATAAAAAAAGGAAGAAAATTAAATTGTGAATTAATTAAATGGGATTGAATAATTGAAACTTAATTATAAATTAACATTTTTTAAATGGTACATTTTAGAAATTCTGCATCGATATGCAAATTATATGCACAGTTTTCAAGCAGAAGTAAATAATTTTAATTAAAAGATTAAATAAGTACTTGAGTATAATAATAGATTAACTCAATTTTTAAGAAAATTCTTAAATTAAATTATTTTTTAATGACAACATTAAATAATATATTGTAAGCATCATTTAAAATAGAAAAAAAAAATCAGTATTATAAAATTTACATTGGTTACTGCAGAAGAACAGAAATTATAATTTTGTTCATAAACATATTTACCTCAGAAATCAGCATTCAAATAAATGTTCACTAACAGTGGTAATTCTCTGTAACATTACATAGTATTTGGAGTACTCTATGTTTTTCAAATATCATTATCACTCTAAATTGTGGCCCTGTAAAATGTTTTCTGTCAAAACAAGTGGAAAACAAGTGTGTTAGCACCTAGTGATGTAACTCAGGTGTGATAAGTACTTCATTACACCTGATGCTGACCTGATGCCACAGAGTACTAAGTAAGTACTAATGGTACCAATGTCACCAGGGTCAATTTCCCCTGCTATCAGGTGACAAAACTTCAGGGAGGCACACTTATCTCTCACCTGAGACTGTGACCCCAGGAAATAATGAGCCCATTATCTACCTATTACCTACAACAATACAAACACACACAGGCCTGATTGACTTCTAATAGACTAAGATTGGGCCCATTAGATGAGAAAAGTGGCTCTAATGCCACACTTCTACCTGTGTACACAAACAATAGGTAATTGCTGTGTTGTCTTTGGGACTGGAGGCTGTGTTTCTGTTTATGGAGTTGTGTGTGTATATAAGCCCCCACTGGGTCCATGGCTGATCAGAGCTACCCCACAGCTTGGCATCTACTCTTCATTACCTGGGACGACTAATTAAGTCACAAAGGTCACTTTGTAGTTTGATAATTTGGAGATCTTGATTGTCTTATTGTGTGGCCTGCATGTTACCCCCTTCTTGAGTTTTGGTTGTCATTATGAAGAATAGTTCCTACATGATGGACAGAAGCATGATGTGTGTCGACAACTCAGGGTTTTATGATATGTCACTGTGTAAGTATATATCTTTGTCTATTGGTTTGTTTGTGAGGGGTGATTAGTGTTCAGGGTGATGACATCTCTAGACTGGATCATCAGTATTCTGACCAGCTCTAATAAGGGCTAAAAGGGTCCTTCAGTTGAATCATTGTCAACATGTATCATTTCTTTAAGAAGCAGTGCGATGTGCTCTGAATACTTATCATGTTCTACACTATTTAGACTTGTAGATTTATTTTAGTACTACAGAGTTTTTGTTCCATATTTTTTGTGAACAGCTTAAGTTATACATCATTTTGAGATTGAAATATTAAAAAGAAAAATATCATTTTATTTTATATTATTGAATTAATTTATATTAAATTCAAAATTAAAATTATTGCTTCAGACATGAGTTTTTTTTGCAAATTTTAAAAAATATTTTTGTGAACAACAGAAACTTTTGAGATTAAGAAAATTTATTTTTAAAAAAATCTATGTTGATTTCCTTTTAGATTTTTGAATTATTTTTTTTTTATCGTGAATAATATGAATAAAAATCACATATTTTGGGGATTGAAAAAAAAATTGAAAAGAAAAAGTTAGTACTAATTAAATTTTAAACCTGACCACACACATTCCCTATCTGATTGACCAAATTTTATTCTGACCTTAGGCCCAAACTAATGTTAAGTTTTAATGGATCTAAAATTCTTTAAAGCTTAGAAGAACTAATTTACTTCAAAGACAGAAATTGAATGGTAGATTTACTTTAATGGATGTTAACTTCCTAAATCCATTTCAAACAGATGTGTTTGAAGTCTTTAAGATAAAATCTTAATTGTTAAATTTCAACATAAGTGTAATGGGCTTGAAACCTGTTTCATAATCATATAGAACACAATATGTCATTTGTCATCCAATTATCAAAGGAACTGAAATTGTCACACCTGTTACAAGTAAAGGCAGTGTGTACCTGTAAAGTTACATGTTAATTAAATATTATACCTGTCCCCCAGGTGTCAATATGTTTGTCAATTAACACTGAGTTGATTATTAAAAATTAACTCCTTTATACCAGACAATTTAAGGGCATTAATACTTTTTAATTTCCATTTAAAAAAATGAGATTTTTTCTTTAATTTAAATTAGTATTTAAATATGTTGCTTTTATAAATTAGTTGTATTATATAATCTGCATTGATTTGAATGATACAAAATTGGGACAGGTAACAAAAAATAAAATAAACAAGAATCGGTTTTTCAAAATAGGATTTGAATTGTTTTATTACGGGTTTAACTTAATTAATACAGATTGTGTAATTTTAAACAAGTATAGCATTTTTAAAAATATGCAAAAGATGAAAATGAAGAAAAATATTATTTATACATAAAGAAAAAATTCGTACTTTTTTGGCCAAATTCATTTTCAAAGATAAATATTATCTGATGTTTTATAATAAACAATGTATGGTTTACCCCCAAATACATTGAGTTTATTCCAGTTCTAGACAGGAACCCACTTGATTTGTCTGGGAAATATTAGTCCCTCATAAAGTTTATTACACCCAACTCATAAAAAACAAAACAAATGGTGACTCCATGCTGAGTTCTGCTTATCCAACAAAGACTGGAGTTTTCTCTAGTAATGGTGTTTATCATAGGAAATAAAGGATCAAAGAAAAATTAGGTGCTTGTGTTAAACTGCTTAATAGAGATTAAAGGGAGATAACACTCCATCTGATTATTGTGTGAACCACAGTAGATATATATGTAGCAGACATGGAAATGAGATATTAAGATAGGAAAGTATTTGTAAACATAAGCAGGAAGCATTAGCAGTGCATGGAGCATTAAATTGTCATGTCATGGTGATAATTTGGAGGGTGATGACTCTAGTACAGCTCATGATTAAATAATTTATAGAAGCAAATTAACCCTTCAGGCTACTAGAAGAAGGTTTTTAAGAAGTATGTATAGGAGTTAGTATTTCAGAAGTAATTTACTTATAAATGTATGAACATGTTATTTATTTAACCTTTGTCCTTTTTTCAGTGAACTGTGACCCCAGTATCGAGGCTGTGAAGGCACAGAGAGAGATGTACACAGCACTGAAGGCCCGCAAGGAAGCCCTGGAGGAGGCAGTCAGCAAGAAGTTAGAGGAGCTCAAACAACTCTGTATACAGGAGGGGGTACGATAGCTTGTTTATTTATTTTATACACAGTTTTATTCACAAATAAAAGTGAATGGGATTGGGCAGCAGACAAAGCCTATGTTAGCCCTTTCCCTATCATCCACATCGTGTTGAAATGCTTAAACAGTCATATAATTTAAAAGTAAAATTTAATATGATAAATTTTATAATAAAGTCTGAAACAAGAAATAAAATTACATATTTCTTGAAAATGTTTATTTTTACTATTTATTTTGAAAATATGAATTCACAATTTTTATTCATTTCTTTTTTGAATTTGACTAATGTGTGAGCTTTGATTTTAGGAGCTGACCGGTTGTCTGCCCTTGGACTACCCCCAGCAGCCTGGGGAGCCCCTCCCCACCATCAGGAAGAGAGTGGGAACTGCCTTCTCACTGGCTTCCAAGGTTCCCGAGAGAAAGGTAAGGACATAAGAAATAAAGGGTCACAATCTCTCAACTCACTCATATAAAATGGCCATTATTGTCACAATGTATTGAGTCTTCAACATATTCAATAAAACTGTCTTCAAGAAAAATATATTTTCTAAAGTTAGAAAAAGAAATACATTTCTTCAAAAGTGAAAAAAAATTAATATATTCCACAAATGTGATAAGAAAGTAACCCATTTATATAATGAAGTTTAACCTGTTTTTTCCTGCCACATCAGTAACAGTGACAGTGGAGAAAATAAGAACCCAATTAAGTAAAAAAAAAACCAACTAATTTTAAAACTGCAAAATAGCATGTTAATGTTTACATAGATATATTTCAGCTTATTTTACTAGCTATTGATATGATATATTTTTATTGCAGACGGATGATGCCTTATCCACGCTAGAGTTGGAGTACGAGCTCCAGAAGCAGATCACCAACGCGGCCAAGAAACTGTCCTCAGACAAGTCCGTCAGCAAGTACGTCCGCAAGCAGCGACGCCAGTCCTTCCACAAGGCCCAGGCCAAGGTGGGTAGCTCATAATGACATATAGGGTAACTGTGAACATACTAAATTTGCACTCATGTGATGTGATGTGATGATAAGAATTTAAGTATTATTTTCGTGCAATAAAAAATATTCAAACAAGGTTTAAGTTAGAAAAGGCAAGTTTTCAATGATGAATTTGTTTTCATTGATTAAAAAAAACTAAAGTTGTAAAATTTTTAAACTATTTATAGGAAACTATATTTTAAAAAAATGGAAATGGTTGATAAAATGATTCTATTAGATTTGTTAATATGGTTAACTAATGACTTCTTTTGTGTTTCAGCTGAAGGAGATGGAGAAGAAACTGTCGGAGACCAAGGGGGACCCTAGTCACTTCCTGCCCTCGGGGGCACCATCTTACGATGGTATGTACAGTGTAGTTAATCAGAGCTTAGTAGACAAAGAGTGCAACTTAGATCAGTGTCTGTCTAACACTTTCTGTGACGACATGCTGCTAGCCGAGAAACGACGAGGGAAGCGTTCCGTGACCTCACGACTCTACAAGTCGTTCCGGGAGAGGTACTCTGTCAAGAGCCGTCTCAACAAATCCTACCTTGACAACCCCGACCGGTGTATCAACAACAACAGCATCCTAGAGGCCTCCTTCCTCAACAAGACCACGTGTGAAAACTACGGATCGTTGAATCGTTCCCTGCACCCTGTGATCGAGATTCCCAAGATGACCCCTGTGTTGAAAACTTCTGCGTCTTCGGGATCTACGAATTCCACCACTTCCACCGCATCGTCTGGATACCATTCTCTTCCCTCCCCCACCCGCGCCTCCTGGCAGTCTTACGAGTATGAGAGGATGTGTCACGAACTCACCCAGAAACCCAACGTGGAGAGTCAAGTCTAGGCGTCAGAGTTTATCCGGGATCCATCCCCCTTATTTATTGTGTGCTTTAGTGCGTCAGCTTTCTGTGTTAATTTATTTGTTGTTTTAACTCGAAACATGAAAATGTCTTTCCAATAGTGCCAAGGGAGTTAAGTGGCTTGTTTTCCGTTTCAAGGGAGATAACAGTGTTCAACATTAACAAAGCATTATATCAACTTCCCATGTATTCATTTGTGCATGTGTTTGTGTGTGTTGGGCTTACATGTAATCGCATATTTATGCTTTTTTGTGTATTTGCATCATTATCACTCATTTGCATATTATGACATGCAGGGACTTTACCATAAACTTTCAAAAATTGTCAATGTGATTGACAGAAACTTTGAAAAATTATGAAAAGTGATTGTCATGATATGTATTTCTAATTTCATTTTCATTTTGTTCAGCATTCATATTCACCTGAGTGTTTTGTTTTCCTTTTGATGCTTTGTTTTTATGTTATCTTCCTCTGTTATAAATCTCACTTATTCTCCCTGACAATTTTAACAATAAATGTTTTATCATTATTTTGTTTTACATGCTTTTCAGTTATTCACAGCTTGGCTTGGGCTTGCTTAGTCTTAGACACCACATATATCTTAGCTTTAGCAAATAATACTAAAAAGTCAAATTATATTGACACTGTCTCTGGCCAGTGACTTCACCATAGGACAGAAAACTAATATATCATTGAGTAATATGTAATTTAATGGGATATGAAAGTTGATTTGGGAAAAATCAAGGTAGTCCTCAGCATATGATTAAAAGATTCCTCAATAAAAAATTGATGAATCAAAGGGAACTTGAACAGAACAACACCACAATATAGCTTACATAACAACTTGAAAAGATAGTTATCCTGTATTTGGCAATATTTAATAAGTTTATGATAGGTACATTTTTCTGCACTTTAAGCATTCCAAACTAAAAAAAGTTTCATTTTGGGTTTTGTACCAATACTGGACACATTATTTTGTTTTAGTCATACAATTTGTGTTAATAGATAAACTTCCTCTACAGGCATCTTGCAAAAATTTCTCTCCTTAAAGAAAACAAATTAATAATGATTGAAAGCAATATTATTTCAAAATTCATTTGATTCGATCTAGAGAAACATTAAATATAAAAGTGACACAGATTAATTTCATTAGAAAAACAAAAAAGGTGTGTTGTACTAGAATCTAAGATAATTATATAGCAAGCATCATAAAGCTTAATTAAGCAAGTCAAGACAGCTTTAGTCTGAAAATGAAGATTTGGGGTGAAAATGCACAAGGATGGTAGGAATAATAAGGATAAAGAATTTGCAGAAGTGTTACTTGTAACAGATTCAATTCTCAACTCAGAAAACTATATTCATCTTTGTTAGAGTAGTTGTACGTATTTCTTGGATTGTTGATTAAATGGGATAGTTATTATAAGCATTTTCTTGAATTTGAAGATAAGAAACCTTTTCGAGATCAGTGGTGAGAAAACACAATATTTTTTGGCAATAATGAAGAAATAAATTAGTTTCCAAGTGGAAAAGAAAGGTGTGGGATTGGGGGTTGGGGTTGTATTAATATTGGCAGGGTTATTACATGAGAAATGAAAGAGAAGGAACCATTTTAAAAGTAAAAGGTAAGGGTGTCTTTGGTTCCTCCCCTGGTGGGCTCAAGGGGTCATATCAGAATGAAGGAGGTGATTGTTTTATTATGGTGGAGTGGATTCCCTGGTCCTCAGGTCTTTTGCACAACCCTGGTTACACAGGCAAAAGTGGCTCACATAAATTTTCTATGAATTTCATATGAATTCTCAGCATATGAGAAAGAGACAGAAAAAAAGACGTGAAATTTTTGTGATAACTGATTTTGCCATAATTTTCATGAGTTTTTACATGAATATCAAATGGCATAAATATCATGCAAAAAAACATTGTTACATGGTAGATCTATAAAAAATTACGTGAATATTACATAAATATCATACAAACTTTTTGGCATGAAAAAGTATATAGTTTTTACATGATTTTCATAATTTTCAAAGAAAAAAATAATCATTTGAAATATCATGTGAGCCACTTTTCCCTGTGTAGGCCTGGTGTAAAGAAGCTTAAAACGGATATTCTTTAGACTTTTTGGAAAATGTTGATTAGCTCTGCAGGTTTTTCAAACACACCTCATGTTTTCTTAGTGATTCTGATCAAGACACACTGAGCTTAGTGCAGATTTCAAAACATCTTATTAATTTCAAACATTTGAAGATATGATTATCTCAAAGTTCAAGGAAAATCTTCCACAGTTAATCAACCATTTAAGAAAACATAAAGTGGGTGGCTTGATCTTTTTAATGTTTGTTTAAAAAAAAATTCCACCTAATCAAACACTATGCACATTAGCTAGATAAAAATAGGCTCAAATTCTTCATAGTTCACAGCTCAGAGGTTTTTATTTCAAAGTTAAAATTCCATTTCAAAGTTAAAAAGATATGACCTGCAAAGATTAGAGACTGTAACAGACATCTTGGCATCTGATTTTATGGAGGAATGGATTGAAGAATCTGGAATGGATATTTAATGTCGGAATTAAAAAAAAAAAAATGAAGCACATAGGATAATCTGAAGCTTGGAAGTGGAGAGTATATGCATCAATAAGTGTCCATGAAGAGTCATTTTAAATGACATTTACGGCAAAATTGGATAAAAAGCTCTCACTGCTTTCCTAAAATTCACCTGGCATCGATCAGAAGTGAAATTAACCACACATATTGAAGGTTTTTGCCATTTTAAAATTTTTATAAAGAGCTTTGAATAAAAAGCTTGCAGTTCCTTCTCTCAGAATTATTGGAAACTCTCGGCTTCAACAGGAAGATGAATTATACCATTTTGAGTTTTGGAGAAGGATATTTGTGGAGTGAATTGACAAACTTTCTCTGCGGAGAACATTGTTGAATTTCTGTCGCAGTCCGAGGACAATTTGAATGTACATAAAATAAATGAGGAAATACTGTGGAACCAGGAAGGAAATGTACCATCGATCTTCTGACATGCCTACTTTTATGAGAGTGATTGACCGTCAATCTTGAAATCTTTTTCTCCTATTTCTCCTGTTGATTTATGCTTATTTTTCTTTGCACTCAATTAATTTGAATAACTTATTTTTACCATAAATTTACTGTGCTTATGGAATTTAAAGACAAAAGTAGTGTTTGTGTATGTAAAATCAATGTTAGATTTATAACATAAGAAATTGCTGGATTTTAGAAACTTGACGTGTGTATCTGTTGTATTGTAGGATCAAACTCGCGGCTGCAGGACACAACATCACCAGAACTACCACCCAGACGCAGAGCTGACGTATGTTTATACAAAATTTTAAATAAATTCTTTGATGTCACTTTCATAACAATTGAAGTGGCAAAATAAAAAAAAAAGATAAGTTTGAAAGAGGCACTTAACAAAAAAAATTTTTATTTTTTTAAATATTAAAAAAAGTCTTAGTGAAAAAATGTGTGTGAAATCTATAGTTCCAAAAGTGTAAGTTCTGTACTATGATTCAAAAGTAAGTAGAGTGAATCTTGTTATAAGAGAAAAAATGCAGTTTTATGTTTTACAGTTACCTAGTACCAGTATATTTTTTCTCCAAAGTTCTTTAAAAAACATTTTACTTATCAATAAATACTTGATATGAGAGAGATTTCTGTTTTTGCCTTTCAGCGCTCTTCTGGTGACGGCCCCAGACAGATCACAATCCAACGGTCAGCCACCACCCGGGAACTGTCCCCTACGTCCCCGCCCCCTCTCAGCCCCACCCTCAGCAGGTCAGTGGGGTCAGAATCTCATGATATTTTAAACCTTAAACTGATCATATAGTGTGATATCAAGAAAGTAAAATACCTCGTACATGTACTAATTTCCAATTTCTGTTTTGACTTAAATTTGTATATGGAAACACAGGTTGTATGTAAATTTTAATGAGGCTGTTACGCATAAAATTATTTCTAATTGATATTTTAAAAAAATGATTTTTAAAATCCTTGAACCTTAAAAAAATACAACCAAGTACTAATATTATTATTAGTCTAAGAAAATGAAATGGAATTGGACTTTCGGAAAAAGTATCATTTTCTGCATTAAAATTGATTTATTTTTTTTATGTTTTAGCCCCCAGTTGAATTCCCTGAGCCAAGCAAACACCTACAGGAACCAGATTTTCCCTCCCCCTCTCAGCAGTCGAAGTGCTTCGTCTGGCAGCAACATGTCCAGCCAATCAGAATACGAGAACGTGAAACGTTACGAGAAAGGAAGTCAGGACAGTGGTTTTAGCTCAAACAATAACATGTATAATCTAAACACTCAGCGGACTTCACATTACGAAAGTACTGATGAAATTAAGACTCCCACTAACCCTGATTTTAGTGACAATGTACTGACGGGTTATGGTAAATCTGACATGTCTCTTAAGTATGACGATTACCGCAAACCTATGTCTCAGGGACATTATGGGAGCTTAGAGCGGAATACACGCCGCCGAGATCGGTGGTCGTACAGAGATAGACAACTTAGTGATGGTGAAAGTAGTGTTTTAACTGACCTTGAACCTTCTAAATTTGGAAGCAAGAGGAATTCTCAATCAGAATATGACCTTGTGTCGTCTAGAAACAGTGTGATAGAGGTTCCAGTGAAACATGAGGAAACGGGGACACCGAAACACCAGCGTCATAAATCGGCTCCCTGGGAAGACTCCGCATTCACGGAACCTTCACCAATAATCACAAGTCCTGATCAACATGAAAACAGTTTTGAAAACCATTGTTATAGCCCTCGTTTACATGAGGGCTCTTTCTTTGGTAGTAAAGGACCAAGTTCTTTAAGTGACCAAAGTTTTTATCCTGGCAGCAGATCTGATTCTCCACAATATACCAAAAAGTCAAACGCAGTAGTGACTGTGACCAAAATTCAGCCTCATCGGAACGTGGAGGTGATTTCTAAACCTTTTGAAATGTCAGACTTTTACAAATACAGTGAAAAAATGCGTCGGCAGCGGTACATAGAACAGTATCAACAACAGCTGATTGGAGGATCTCGATGTAGCTCCCCCTCCCAGCAATCCACAGACTCAGGGGGAGAGAACTCCTTCTCAGGTTCAAACTCGTCTTTTGCTCATCCTGTTTCGTCTTCATTACACACGAGTCCTTCTCATTCTTTATCATCTGTTTCCTGTCGCCCCGGCCCGGGCTCGCCTGCGACCCGCAGGGGCTCTCCATTCCTGTCGCACAAGCGAGAGAACGACCAATCGTTTGAATCTCCCCAGCATGGGTCGCCTCGCTTTGAGGCTGTCAAAGAACATAGTTCTCACGTGCAATACTCCATGCAGACTCCAACGGGTACAAGAGTGTACAAATCTGTCCAAACTAAACACACCCATTATCAACCTTTGACCCCTCAAAAGTGTGACCCCCTAACACGAAACCAGGCCTCCACCCCCAGGACTCATCACAGGTGAGATAGAGAGAGCCTTGAGGGTTGTCATGGTTACTTCTCAGTCTGTTTACTGTTTCCATGGAGATATTTGATGTGTTTTTGTGTGATATCCTTAAATTGAAATTGATTTATCAAACCAATTAAATTCACTGTGTGGCACATGATTTGAACACAATTTTTTTTCTCCACGTTTGATTTAATTTTCACACGTTTTATGGCATTATTTTTTATTACTTGAATTTTATGATATTACCACTTTTTATAAGTTTGTTATATATTTTACAGGACTTAGAAATTTTAATTTTTGAAATTGACTGCTGGATAACTTTTCTCAAAAAAGGCATTCTTTATATCATTCATTTGTATATAGATAAATGTGTATCTTTACATTACATGCTGAAGTGAATGTTTTGTAAATGCAGATCATTTTAAGCAGTTTTATGTACAGTTTGCAATTTATTTTTTTTCTAATGTCTCAAATAAGAACATGAAAAGTATGATTGTTTATGGAAGTTCTTTATTTCTGAAATTTATTATTGTAGTGTACATTGTGTCTTACATGTATCGCTGTATGTAAGGGAAAGGGAGGTAACTTGATCATATGTGCTGATATTTTCAGAATATAAAGAAGGAGAGAAAGAGAGAGTGATCAATACTAGCCCCATGAAAAATAGTCAAAATCATCAAGTGAATAGATGTTTGTACATGTAAATGTAAGTTTATGAGGAAATGTCTATAGGAAATAATGAAGCAAAGAATAAAAAAGACAGAATTAAGTTTATAGTTGTAATTCTTGTTTTGTGCATGACACCAAAACATCCAGGAAACAGTGATAACATAGAACTTTGAAAGGTTTGGAACAAAAGAAGATTTTGACAGATCTGCAATAATAATCTTAGAAAGGAAAGATAAAGAAAGAATAAAGATTAAGAAATTGTCATTGATATTTATATAAATTCTGGCATGTACACTTTCTGTTTTATATAAAGCAGCATGTTTTGTGTTAAATACTTGTTTACAGAGCTATTTTAGAAAGAATGTGTTTGAAAATAATTTTTATCTTGAAAAAAAAAGTAGGTAAATTATTTTTTATGCATGAAAAAAAAAATACAATACTGTGATTTTAAATTGAAGCTTTGTTATGTTTAGCATGAATGCCATCAATAATAACCTTCACTGAATGCAATTTATTATTGTTATTTTATTTTCTTGTTTTTTAAATAACTCGCTGAATATATTCTTATGCAATGCTTACATTAATGCAGTTTTTTTTTTGGTGTTCATTATTTTTGAATGTGTTCAAAGCATGTATTTTTGCCACACTTGTTTATATATATTGTTGTTGCTATGTACACATCACTATCTCCATGGTAACAGTTGCTAGGCTGATGCATGCCCTACTAATCAGCATATATATCATATCTTAACATTTCATTGATATTCAGAAATTTCATGTCTGTGTGCTCTCTGTATGTAGTTTAGACAGTTGATTTATGCATGTTTTTTTTTTATCCCTGTTGGGGTCATGTGAGTCATTGAAGTGACATATTGCTATCTTTTTTTGGTGGTTCCCTCAATCTTTTTTCAGCTTTCCGTAGAAAGGCTACAGGCACAGATTCTGGGATTTTTTTTCAGGGTTGGGGGTGTCCACTTCAGTCAAAATGAAAAATTTAACCCAGATATTTCTTGAAATGCAAAAAAAAATATAAAACTTTCCCAAATGTGACAAACCTATTTATTAACCCTTAAAATTCTTAAGTAGAGAGGAACAGAATTTATGAATTTCATAGTATCTGCCTTCCCTATTCTTCTTAACCCATAGGTGTCAGAAGCAAATCGAAAGTGGGGGGAAATTGTGAATTTCATAGTATCTGCCTTCCCTATTCCCCTTAACCTGTGTTTTAGGTATGTTTGTTGTAAGTTTCAAATACATAATTCTACAAATCCAGAAAAAAATTGCAATTTTGTACCTAAGAAAACTTTCCATATGAAAAAAAAAGTTACTCAGGTTCCAGATGGAGTAAAATTGGTGATAAGAAGGGAAACATGATACTCAGGTGACTGTTAAGGACCAAGGGCTTTTTCATATTTCAATTTTTTCACTTATAATATATTCACTTTTGCATGCTTATAGTAAATTTTTTGAAAGGATTTATTTTGGACAACTTACAAAATAATTCCATTAATGTATTCCAGTTTGATAATGGTTTAATTATGGCCCATATTTATGATCTTAAAAAATAATAACTAATAAGTTGTTGATTAAATTTGAGTTTAAATTTTGAAAAAAAGTAATCAAATTCTTAACTACATTTGTAGAACACAGGCCCTGAAAAACCGGGGAAGGCCAAGGCAAAGTCATTTTTCCTACACAGTTTTTCAGCAGGATTTAAACAAACTGAAGGCCTATGCTATAAAATGGACGATCTGTTTGAATTATAATTAAATGTTTGAATAATTTGTTTTCAGCAGGCACCACAAAACGCAGATGGAAAGAAGTGGCGGTTTGAAATCGTATTCTCCTATCCGAGGAAATCCACAGGACCGGAAGTCGCCCAACGTTTCTATGGACGCCAGCTTTGCCTTCAGTAAGGATTCAGTAGCAGACGACTTCGGTGAGGAAATGATGGCGTGGATCGACAAAGAAGGAACCAATCAAAACCCGTCCTTTGTCTGAAGAATAAAACTTGGTTATTATTTATATTGATAGAATTAATAAATTTTTAATTTAAAAATGTCAGCTTATTTTTTGTTTAACAATCTAGTTTGGATGGAGTCAAAGATCTAGAGATTTTTAATTAGATTAGAACTTAATGAACTGCATAGGTACATTTACCAACTTTTGCTTAGGAAGATGGATGAACAAGACAGGCTAAGTGCTTATATATAGTGCGAAAATTACTTGGTCCATTTAAGGGTATTGTAGGAAACATGAATTAAATGACACTTTTAATCAGGAGCTCTGTAGTGTAGTGGTTAGCGTGTTTGTCTCAAAACAAAATGATACTCGGGATTTTAATTGCTACAGTAGTTGCAACGTAACAGTAACTGCAAGTAACTTACATGACTGACACGTTACACGAACAATTCTGCACGATAATAACTTCATGTTGCACAGAACTTGAATTTTCTGCAATGGCAATGCAACAGAAATAGGAAATAGAGACGACTATAAAGGGTCGGAGTTGGGTAAAATATACAGTGTGTCTAGAATTAGGGAGTGAAAAGTAGTTTATTGAAAAATGAACTCCCCAAGAGTGCGCAGAAAATTTTGCATAGTAAATTATATAAGGGAATTGATCTACATGTATGTAGCGTTATGGTCAAAGACTAATTATATAAAACAGTAAAGCTACATTTCAGCAGCTAAAATTATGTTTGAGGCCGGGGAAACAGGACATAATTATCTGCATGATGAAACTGATTATTTTTAAAAAAATTAAACTTAAAATCACTGAAACTTAAACATGAATTACTAGAGAAGACATTAGAACGGATGATCTTTATAGTAAATCTTATCACGTCGAAAAAGTTTGAAATATTTTGAAATTTAATTATTTTATTGCATTGGAAAGTGGCCGATTGGCTTTCAGCCAAGTAAATTTCCAAAGTTTTCGGAAATGAAGAAAATGAAAATAGGAATTTTTTTAAAGATTGAATTTTAAATATAGTCCATAATACGGGGAAGATGTAATGGTTGACAAGGATGAGTAAGGAAATATCCATGAATACAGACTAGTACTGTTCATTAATAGAACTGTGAGTATTTTCTTGTTATTTTGACACTTTGATATCTATCATATTGTGAAAAGGCGGAGGCGTTTATATACATGCCTATTTTTAGCTTGAGCTAAAATATACAATGTTTAAATACATAAAGGAGTCGTCATTACGTTGAAAGATGATCAATTTATACCGATTTTAATTAAAAGTTTAATATACATGTACTTTAAGAGAGTATCAAAAAGTTAGAAACTATAGGTATGAGCATGATAAGGTCAAGACTAAAAAAGTTCAGCAACTAATATATGCATGTGTATATAAATATAATTACACGTCATGTATGTCATTTTCCAGCAATCTGAAACGTAAACATTTGTTTTATTAGCTCACCTGAGCTGAAACTAAGTGATCTTTTCTGATCACACATCCGTCCTTCTGTGTGTTTGTAAACATATATTTTCAACTTTTCATCAATTATCAGAACCACTGGGCCAATTTTAACGAACTTTGTACATATGTACAAAGCATTCTTGAGTGAAAGAGAATTTAAAGTTTTAAGATCCAAGTCTCTTTACAAGGGGAGATAATCAAGAAAAGACAAAAAGGGTGGGGCCAATTAAAAAAAGCTCGAGAACCACTGGTTAAAATTCTTTTTCCCATTGTCATAAGTCATTATCATAAGTATTTGTATTAATTATTGTTCTCTACAAATTTATAAGTTTTATGAGAATATTTTTAGTCATTGTCATTGAAAAGCATAAAATTATGACAAGTGAAAGCATTTTGAGGTAGTGTAAATTATAAATAATTGACATCTTGACCCCTAGGGTAGGGCGGGGCCGCGATACGGAATTCAAGTTTAACATTGAAATACAGAGAAAAAAATCTTTAAAAATCATCTTCTCAAGAACCAATGGGCAAGGAAAGCTGAAACTTATGTGGACACTTCCTGAGGTAGTATAGTTCTAAATTATTAAAATCATAACCACGGGGGTGGAGGGGTGCTCCAAAAGAGAATCCATGTATTATATCAATTGAAAGGTATACTTATGGGAAAAAATGTAAAAATCTTTTCAAGAACCAATTGATCAGAAAAGCTTAGACTTATGTGGAAGAACTAACGACTAAGACCAACATTTAGTACTGCTTGTAAATTTTTTATTTACATAAAATTGAAAATGGTTTTAATCTTTTTAAAAGAAATCTAGAAAGATGTTTAACGACGTTCGATCCTGATATTTGATGTCTTAAACTTTTTTTGCCAAGTATATTTTTAGTTTCTACATACATAGCTTAATTAAAATTCAAATCAAAAAATGGGGGTCAATACGCTTCTTTTGGCGCTACAGTACATTTAATATGACCTTTTTGCACTGAAATTTGTGTCTTAATAAAAAATAAAATTTTTGACGTTTTCCCTCCAATATTTTTATCCAATTAAAGCATGAAATAAAATGAACTCTAAATTTGTTTAAAAAAAAACACTTCAAAAAATTGTGACTAAAAAAAAGTTTCAAATTGCTTCGCATAATCAATTATTTGACCTTTCTGCACTAATAAAAAGTTAATTTTCTGGCATTGAAAATTTAATAAGCAAGACAATTATTTTAAAGTCTTAGACTTTTTCGGATTTTAAGCAAATAGGTCAAATTTATCTTGAATATATAGAAAAGGACATCAAAAGTGGGGGTATATGATGTAAATTTTTAAATATTACCACAGAAGTGTCAATTTTATGTAAAAATGGACTCAATTTTCCCCCGGATTTTCAGAATATATTTACTATATTTGTCACACTTTGTTGATAGAATTCATAAGAAATAATTTGATAGATATTTCAGAACCAGCATAACACATTCCACTGCAAAAAACAGCTTTGTGTGCAACCAGGATGGAAAAATAGGAATCCAAAATTAACAGTACTATTATAGTTTAAAATGGAAAATCTGACCATTTTCGTCTAAAAAACTTTCCGCCACAAAATATAGTCCCTAGCTTAATTCTATTTGAATGGAATTTAATCGCATTTCTTTCATTGGATATAGTTAAATTTGCACTGTAGAATTCAGATTTAATGTTAGAACTTACAAATGATGCAGAATTTTATAAATAAAGGACCTGACCAAAATACGCTCAAAATCTCAGGATCGAACGTCCTTAAGAGCTCGCAATTTTAAAGAGAATAATCAATTTAGTAAAATTCTACAATCAATTCAGATCTGCAGCTACATGTATAATAAGTATTAAAAAGGTTATTTCTGATGAAGAACAACGGGGCCAAAGAAACTCAGGTGAGCGTTGTGGCTCATGTCCCTCTTGGTTTGGCTATTCCTTATCTGACAGCATCTTTCGATACTGACATAGTTTGTATATATCTGCAAAATATAGAAAAGACTTCATAAAAATGCCTTGAAAAATACAGTCTATAGAAAATATGCTTTATAAATTTTAAAAGTCAATTCATAATTTGACATTTTAAAAATATCCTTCCGCATACATACACTGTATTAATATTTTTCATCTGTACTTAAATATTCCATTTCATAATACTAGTAAAACTAGCCTCTAAACAGGAAGAAACGCAATACACATGTTTATCATTGAGAGTAGTCTAATTGTCTGCATGACGACGTCTGCTGGAGAAACAAGTTCGTTAAATCCAAGGGTACCTCTTAACTGCAAAACAAAATCGAAACGATAAAATCACACCATACTAAACGAAAACCAAACGAAACCAAACCGAGCAAGCAAATGTTTGTTTGTTGTTTATCATCCCTCTTGAATTTTTCATTCACATTGAGACGCCGCTGCTTGCACTACTATATGTAAGTCACAAACTTACTAAAATTTCCAATGTTTACTGACAAACTTATAGACAATTATAATGACAATTTGTTGTCTTTTACTAAAAAACTTACTGGCCCTTTTACTAGCTGCCAGTGCCGATAATTTAATGTTATTTTTTCTTAAATTGTTAACCCCATTTTTAAAAATATATTTTCCCATTTCCCTATCATGTCGAGTAGTAACAGGTCGACAGTGGATGCTCAGTCCTCCATGGCACCTGATCCTCTGCGATGCTTAAGAGGTTCGTGTTTGCATTGCTTCTGATTTGTATTTTAAGCTTGAATATACTATTCGTTATCAGTATCACCATATATTTCATAAAACAGTGATTGATATAAGTGTAATAGTACTTAAGGCTAACGTTTTCTCGTGCGTTTGTTTTCTTCTCTTGTACCGATAGTTTAAATTATGGTTTTGTTTTGTTAGAAGAGAGATCGAGGGTAAATTTGTTGCAATCATTCACACCCTTTAAAATACGAGTAGTTATTATTCGTACATAAATAATAAAAATCATTTCGAAATACATAAGCTATGAAAACGGTTGACCTTTGCATATCTCCAGAACTCTGGGACCAAGGAACATATATTTTTTAAAAGCAATATACCCTTGAAATCTTGACTCTATCCTGAGAAATAATTGGAATGTTCGGAAATTATTGAGACAATGTAGTATATTCCTATTTCTTTTTTTCTAATGCACCTCTTTCGGTAAAAAATTGAATATTATACTTTTGACAAACACTTAGAATTATTTAAAAGAAAAAAAAAATTATTTCTTCTTTTCAGTGGTATATTGATATGTCAATGGTACGAGTACCCAACACTGTCAAGAAATCAGGTGATGAAAACGCAACACTTGTGTTCTAACTCCCGTTGGACTCTAAGTAAGATAAAAATAATTTTTTTTATAGAGTTTATGTCTGAATAAAGACATGTACCTCTATATTTATTATCCAATTTTGTAGAAATTTGGCATATTTGTACTAGTATACATTTTCTCGAAACTTACATGTATCAACACAATTAGCTATTATGACAATTACTGCTATTTATTTGCTATAGAATAAATTGGCAGCATGTCAGGTAGGATTTCCATTGCTGGTAAAAATGAAACTTCTCCAGAAGAAATCACACCTCTTTCGATTTACAATACTACGAAACAATGCTTAAACACCACCGACTTGGCGAATTATACTAACGCAGATGGAATAGAAAATATTGCTGAAAGAAACTCGAGCTCAGAAATGGCTATGATGATAGCATTGGGAATTATTTTACCCATTGTTATATTTTCTTTGCTAACTGGAATATTGTTTTGGTGGAAGAAAAAAATGAACGCGTACATGTCTGAACAGAGGACCGTCGAGGAGGCACACGTCATAGATAGTAATGAGGGGGACATTCCTTCGAATGACCAACAAAATGTCGTTGATGAACACAACAAAATGATTTCTGGCAACGACGATTGAAATGCACATGCTAGTTCAAGCTTTTATCAACTTCTTACATATCATATCAATTAATTAGAAAAGTAGTAATTGAAAAGAAGGAAAAATACTCTCTTTCATTTATATTCGGAATCCTATTATAATTAACCCTCAATTCATAACATTAACACATGTCAGGGGCGGATCCAGCCATTTTTGAAAGGAGGGGTTCCAGAGTTGTGTACTTTTAACCCCCCCTTCCCCGCCTACACACTCTCAAGCAAAGATTTACACACACGTATGGAAAGATCTAAGATTGTGATAAGTAACATCTTTGTTTTAGGTCCCTTTTTCCTTTGAAAAGGTACCCCAGTCCAAAAAAAAAAAAAAATAAGAAACACATTTCAAAAACTACTGAAGCCTAAAAATTGAATGGATTTGCAGCATTTCCGAAGATTACAAAGAATTTTCTTTTAGAATTTGAAAAACTTTTTTGGGTAGGGGTGCGGTTGAGGTTTAAAATAAAGAGTTATACATGTTCGTTCCTTTGAAAGATATAAGCAAAAACAGTACATTAGATACCCAACACATGCAGCTAAAGATCGCAGGAATCCAATATCAAATTAAATTTCGCATGTTACATATCATATATAAGATATATAAAAATCAGTAGAATATTTTCTACCAGTCTCTCATAAAAAGGATAAGTGAAGGTGAATGGAGGAAACTAAATGTATGAGAATCTACCTATTCAATACATAAGTTAGATGTATAAATATTTATTCTCTGAAAATGTTTATCATCTCTCTTTCTCTCAACTTGGCAAAAAATAAAGGGGGGGTTCCAACCCCCGGAACCCCCCCCCCCTCTGGATCCGCCAATGCATGTTGAGAATACAGTTCCCTAAAATACCCAGAGGGGATGTGATGGTACATATTGTCGTTCTGTACATACTTTTGTCGGCGACAATAAATAATACCCACTCTTACTGCAATTACTGTCTCCATCGGTACATATTGTCGCCGAAATGAACCTGACTGAACACAGTGATATAGTGCTGGCAAGTAACGATGGGAACTTTACTTCGAAAGATCAATCAAAAATCGTTGATGAACACGGCAAAATGATTTGCTGTGGCAACGACGATTGATATGAACAAGCTAGAACAAGCTATCAACTTCTTACAGACTATATTAATTCAAAAAGAGTGAAAAATATTTACCTTAATGTATAACCGGAATCAAATTTAAACCTCAAAATTTATAACATTGACAACTACTGAGAGCACAGTTTCCTAGTACTCCCAGAGGGGGGCTTGCTGAGGAATATTTTTCCTCAACAAACTGCAAAAGTAGTGGAAAACTGAAAGGAAACATCGACGTATTCACGGATATAATACCGTCTGTAAAACAATTACGACAAAAGGCCAGGGGGCCGGGATTGATTGATTGTATATTGCTTTAGTCCCTCTCGAGAATGTTTTGCTCATATTAAACGGAGGGAAGTTCTTTGAAAGAAAACGTTGATTCACAGGTGTTCAATGATACACAATATCCATCTTCAACACTTGCAACGATTTAATCAGATTTTTTTGGTCAAAGTTGTGACTTCCTAGAACGTCCTTTATAGGAAAGTTTTGAGGAATCAGCATAAAAAAAGAAGTAAACTCGGCGAACAAAGAAAACCAGGTACAACTGTGTTACATATTAATATTACAATTTCATTAACAGTGAAGTACATTCATAAATGTAAACATAAAAAGTACAACAAGAAAAAAGGAATGCTGTTTAGAAAAATCAAGAAAACCGATTGCAATTTTAATTTTCAATGGTTACTTATCATATGATCCCTAGTGGAATAAATGAAGGAACGCAACAACCTTGAAAAGGAGTTGTGACCTTAGAAATTAAAGTTTCAATTGAACTGAAGAAATGTTTAAGCTTCACTGAAACGTTTTCTATGAAAGATTATGGACTTGCAGTCTTGCACACGAAGATACATTTTCTCAAGTAGGCCTAATGGCAAGTTAAAGCAAGCTGTATGATCCAAAGGCGTCTTGCTTACAGGGTCAAACTGTCATTGCAGCCCGGAGGACCGGGCTGCTCTATACATATAAGTTTGATTGTTGGTGTATGGGGATTGGGGTGGGAGTAGTTATTTAGAATTAAAGGTTTTCTTAACATTGAAAATATTGTTAATCAGAATATTTTTTCCGTTTATAAATTACAAGATACTTAATGTATTAACTTCCATAAAGTGAATCTGTAAAAATATATATGTTTTTAATATTTAATATGTAAAGTTGCTTATAATTAACTATCGAAAAAACGACAGGTCCCTTTTTTTTTTAGAACATTGAATTTTACTTCTCGGATAAAAACGAACTCTGCACAGTTCATGTTTTATATTCTAAAGTTGAAAATTAATACATTTTATATATAGGTGATGCACGTGTCTAACTTCAATTTATATTTCATGCAACCAACATTTACTTGAGGAATTGGTCAAGTTTAAAATGGTATCGTTTTTATTGATTTTTATCCGACTACAAGTTTTCAAATACATGTATTCGCGACTGTCGTTTCCATCAATTTGACGCATGCCTTTTCACACATATCAAAGCGGTTTGATGATCAAGACTCATTTTCATTATTCACTTTATATATTTTCCGGGCGACAACTGATGGTTACATCAATGTTTTCTTGTGTCTATATGAAGAAAGTTTATGCAAATACATGTAGCTTAATGTAATTGCTTCTCCAGGTCGCCATGCACGAAAAATGAAAAAAAATATGCACAATTGAGTGAAAAAATGTTGACAAAGTATTTCATGGGTAAAGAATGTATATTTCCCCTTCTACTCAATTTAATATATTTACACATCGTGTAAAACACCATAGCGAAAATAAAACAACAGCAAACAAAAATGTATTATGAAAAGTTAAAGCATGTTTGTGGTTTTGATGTCCTGTCCTATACGTATCGGAAGAAATTTTTTTTCATTATTTTCCTCATATTGACCATTTTATATTTTACTAAGTGCAGCTGAATCTATTTTCTGGAGAAATTTTTGCAACCATATTCATACATTTTAAGATCAAATTAACAAACTGAGATAAAATAACAAAATTAGTTTTCATTTGATTCAATATTTATGTATTTTCAGACAGAAGTAGTTTAGTTTTGAGTAACTCTATCATCTGGTATAATGATAATTATTTTATCTAACGGTAAATTGCTGTTTAACCGTAAACGTTTTAAAGTACTGTATACAGGGTTATTTTCGCCCCGTGTTTTTTTCGCCCTTTCCCACTAACAAACAAATTTTTCCAGTTTTAAATTCGCCCAGTTACAGTTTTGTTTAGGAAATTATACTGTATTATGTGAATTCCTACTTTGTTTTACTGGTCAGATAAGTTTTGAACAAAGTACAATAGACTATTGTCAATATTGTCAACAAATACTTCCAGCATACAACGTACATTTTAAATACATGTTATAATTGGAAGTCACTACCATAAAAAACCCAACAATGATGTCGTTTACTTATTTTTTAGTCTTTTTTTTAGTCTTGTGCTTATTTTGATTTTCAAGTGAAAAATTCAAAATCAGTAAACGACTGCCATATTGATGTTTTGTGTACCTGATGTTTTGTGTACCTATTTTTACATGTCAGAATAAGGGGATTCGTTTAAACTGATTCATTTTTATCAAGTATTCATCTACATTAACTATATACACGCACGTATTAATCTGTCTCTATTGAATCAACCATAACTCTTTTTGCCAAAATTTTATACACGGAACTCACATTTTAAGTGGCAGCCACCATAAACAACCCCACCAACTAATATTTTATTGTATTGCTTGAATTTTTAATATTTATTTGTAAAAATGATAATATATATTAATATACATGAAATAACTTATTAATAAATCTAACGATATGCACTCGTGATTGTTTTGATTTATTTGCAATGTTTCTATGAGTGAATGTTTTCGCTTTAGGGATAAATAATGCAAACAAACTTTTTTTTCAGAAATCGGCAATATTTTTCATTGATTTACATTTGAATTGGTAGCCTGAATAATGTTTACCAATTATAATGGGACAATTTTTATAAGATTTTGTCATAATGTGAAAAATGTGTGCAACATTTTGCATGGAATTATGTAGGAAGCAAACCAAAGTCCCATATCTAAGCACCAAGGAAAACCTACGATTTCTTATTGCTTAATGTATTTCAGGGATTTAATATTTATGTCATTTCAAATCAAAATCAGTAAAAAAAAATACACATCAATCCATGCTTCAATTTTTTGTTTGTGTTAAGTATCCTTATAGCATATTAACCTTTCTGGTAATCTTTGTTATCTGTTTTTTTTGTGAGTTGTAACTTATTTTTTTTCTAATTAACATCTAAATGAATTGAATAAAACAATGATTTTTTTATCTATACATTATTATTCAAGGATTTTTTATACCTTATAAAAGAATTCAGATTAATATGACAATATCGTCTTTTCTACCTCTCATAATTACTTCAGAACAATTGAATTCAAAAGGCATTTTTTTAAACAAAGGCTTAAGAAATGTTTTGTAGCAACTGAAATTCATAATGTTTTTTTAGTTAAGGGTAGGAAAATTTTTTTCCGGATTTTTTTTTTTTTTTTGACGATAAAAACTTCAGACTCCTGTGCATAAGGCGTCTTTTAAATGCTATTACCCGATATATACAAACAGCTCATGAAGATCATGTCATTTCATCTAATAAATTAATGGTTCTTTTCCTTATATTAAAGAAATAATTTTAACGTTTGGTAATGAATCCTACAGATATATCCATGGGGCCAGTAACATGCTAAAGAGCTAAAGCCACGAACCATCGAAATACGCCTTAACTAAAAAATCAATGAGAATTTCAATAAAGATAGTGTAGACTACTGTTTTCCTTTTTTAGATATCTATAATTATATAATAGTGTTGCATTATGCATGTACTATGCCTAAATAGTAGGCAGGGTTTGACACATGGTGCACGAGCCGGAGGCGAGTGCACTATGTGTCAAACCCTGCCTACTATTTAGGCATAGTACATGCATAATGCAACACTATTGTTATTATTATGCTGACTGTTGTAATTATT